GGGAAGATGCCTGGCCTCAGTTCCAGGAGAAGGAGAGATCTGAGCTCCACCTGCAGGCAGAACAACCCAGCAGTTTGGGGTGACTGCCCACGGAGTCTCGCGTTTCCCCTCTGCAAGACCCTGATCTTAACAGCCCTGCCCTGAGAGCGCAGCAGAGAGGCTGCCACGGAGCTTCCCAGGAGCCTGCAGGGTGTGCGGACGTGCATTCGTTCTGCAAATCTTCATTCGATAAATGTCTCCTGAGCAGCCTCCCTGGCCTGAGGATGCAGCAGTGAATAAACCCACAGGGTTCCTGCCTCTATGGGGTTTACGGGCTAGTAAGGGGATACAGTCAGCAGATGGACACAAATGAATGGGACCTAGAGGGATGATGACGCCCATCGTGAAGAAATACGAAGGAATGATGAAGCCATGAAAAATGAGAGCAGCATAAAGGGATGGGGGGAAGCTGGATGGGATTGAGTCAATAAATATCGGTTGGTGCCATTTCCTTTTACATGTCTCTTCCCCATCGTCTGTGTGTCTAGAGACCACACCACTGTCAACAACATTGCTGGTGGTGGGGATGGTCAGGGGTTCGAAGGTGAGCCTCCCGGAGCCCCAGTTAGCTCCATCCCCTTCCCTTGCGGGGCCTCCACTTTCCTTTTCAGCTCCAGCTTGGACCCTCCCCTGACTCTGTGCTAGAATACCCCACTGCCCCCTGGACACTTCCACTTGGGTGTTTAATGGGAGTCTTAGAAGTGGCTTGGCCCACACTGTGGAAGAGAGTTTGGCAGTTCCTTAAAAAGTTAACCAGAATTACCATGCACTTCCACTCCACAGAGCCTATCCTAAGGAGTTCAAAACACATGTCCACGCAAAACTTAACTTTGAATGTTCATAGCAGCACCTTGCACGACAGCCAAACACTGGAGGCAATGCGAGCACACAACAGTGGAGGAATATACAAACCGACTTTGGCCTACCCATGCAGTGGAATATTACTCAACCATGAAAAGGGAGAAGGACTGAGATACAAGCCACGACGTGCACAAACCTTGAAGACATGACGTTCAGTGGAAAAGGCCAGCCACAAAGCTCGTGTAGCGTATAATTTCACTAATATGAAATGAAACAACAGTCAAATCCATAGACACAGAAAGCCGATTAATAATTGCGCAGACCTGGGGACAGGGGGATGGGGAGTGACCGCTAATTGGTGCCAGGCTTTCCTGTTCCAGGAAGATGCCCTGGATCTAGATAGTGGCGATGGCTGCACAACCTCATGAATGTGCTAATGCCACTGAAACAGTGATAAAGGAAACAGGGACTGTGCAGTGGCTCACGCCTGTAATCCCAGCACTTTGGGAGGCTGAGGCAGGTGGATCACTTGAGGTCAGGAGTTTGCAACCAGCCCGGCCAACATGGTGAAACCCCATCTCTACTAAAAATACAAAAACTAGCTGGGCATGGTGGTGGGTGCCTGTCATTCCAGCTAGTTGGGAGGCTGAGGCAGGAGGGTCTCTTGAATCTGGGAGGCAGAAGTCGCAGTGAGCCGAGATCACGTCACTGCATTCCAGCCTGGCAACAAAGTGAGACTCCATCTTAAAAAAACAAAAAGGAAACAGGTTGGAGGGTATCAACCACTCCCCTGTCGACACTCCGGTTCCCTGTCGCAGCTGGAACAAAACTCCAGTTCCGCCAGCAGCTCCGCTTCTCACCCGTTCCTTTTCTCTTCATACCTTCCAAGTTCATGCTCAAGACGCTCCGGCCTTCCTGCCTGTGCACCTGCTGTTCCCTTCATCTGGGAGCCCCTTCCTTCCCACCAATCCTGGTCTGGCCTGCCTTCAAGGTGTCCCTCGCATGTCATTTCAGCAGCCTAGTCCCAGACATGCTCCCAATTCTCTGCTGGCCGCATATATGTGTATTGACACACTCATTTCAGATGAGGACACTGAGTTTCCAAGAGGTCCCATCATTTGCCTGAGTCCCAAGGTGCCCAAATAGTTGGGGCTGGGCTTGGAACTCAGGTCTTTGAGCACTGTGACCTGCAGAGCATGGGTGCCTTTGTTCCCACAATGAGCGACGTCCCTTCCAGAAGTGGCACATGCATGCAGCTCGGTGGATTCTTTCATTCACTGAGGGCTGCCATGGAGGGTTGGGCGGGTTGTGTACCGCACAAGGGGGTCTGGCTGAGAGGCTGAAATCCTGCTGGGCTCTCCTCCTCAAGGCGTGTGCCAGTGGGGCTGCATCCATCTGGGGTAAGGAGTGCCCTTTTCAAATGCACACGAGGGTGCCATCTGCCTGCCAAACCGCAGACCTGGGAGAGCTGATTGGACTAGGTGGGGGGTGCCTTTGTCTCATCTGCACAGAGGCTGCTGTATGGGCTGGCAGTTCTGCTCAGTCCCCATTCTGTGCCAAGCCTCCGCCGGCTCCATGGACACTATCTCTGCCTCTGCTAAGATCCCACTGGCTCCTCCAACCGCACGCACGTGGTGCACACACCCAGGGAGACACAGCTCCAGGCCATTGACAACTCGGAGGGGACAGGGAGGGAGAGCGGAAGCAGCATGCACCTCCCCTCAAACTCAGTGATACACCCAGATACACCACACACAGAGGCCACACAAACACCACACATACATGCCACACACACCACACACACACTCCACATCCACAGACCATACATCCACATGCATACACCACAGACACCACCCACGCCCCACGCCCCCTCACACACCCCACACACACATTGCACATACACAGACCACACATACACACACCACACAACACACACACCCCATACCACATACACAGACCACACATACACACACCACACAAACACCACACATCACACACACCACACACCACACACCACACATACATACCACAAACAACACGCACCACAGACACAGCTGTGTGTGTGGTGTGTGCATGTGTATACACACCCCACACACAACACACGAAACCCACATCACACACAGATCACACACACAACACACACAGATCACACACACAACACACACAGATCACACACACCCACACAACACACACACAGACCACACCCTGCACACAGAACACACACATGCCACACACATACCTCCCACACAGCACACACTCCCCACACACATACCCCCACACCATAGACACACATCCCCACACCACACACACAACACACAACACACACCATACACCCCACATACACACCACATGCAACACACACACCACACTCAGATCACACACACAACACAAACAGATCACACACATACACACACACACACCCCCACACACAGCACATACCACACACACCACACGCACAGACCACACCCTGCACACACAACACACACATGCCACACACATACCCCACACCATAGACACACCCTCCACACGCCCCCCGCACCACACACATTACACACACCACACACCATACAACACATACCCCACACAGCAACACACACACCACACACATCACATACACAACACACGCAGATCACACACATACCCATACACAGATCATGCACACCCACACACAGCACAAACCACACACACAAAACACACACCATACATACTACACACACAACATGCACACACCATAGGCACACCCCCCCACACACACCATACACACACAATGCACACACCACATACATGTACCCCACACTCCACACACTTTCCATGCACACACCACCCCCCCCACACATACCACACATGCACACACCACATACCATAAACACGCACACATACCCTACACCACACACACACCACACACACAGCTTCTCTATCCCTCCCCATCAGGGCAGCCCCGACAGGTGGGTGGAGAGGACTTGCAGCTGCAGACAGTGGCTCCATCCAGACACGGGACGAATACTCCCCTGACCTCCCACAAAGCTGTGCAGAGACACCCTTCAGAACACACTGACACAGAGCCCGGGGCACCTGGACAGTCCCAGACACGACACTCGAGGACCTGGAGGCACACGGACACATACGCTCCACTCCATGTGGACTTCTGCACATTTCCGCCCCACACACTGGACCGCCGACAGCTCTGGGACAGGGCCAGGGACCTGTCCCACTCGGCTCCACGAGGGCCCGAGACCACACACATTGCAGCTCCCGGCCAGGCAGCCTTGGGGGTGCACACACGTGTGCAAACACACCCTCACAGCGGTGGTGAGTCTGGAAGCAGCCATGTGACACTGCCACCCCACACCCGCCCCCACCTCGGATCTCACGCACACAAAGGCACTTTCCTCCTCCACAGCTGAGGGGGAGGGGCCGGGACCCCGCTGCACCCCAGCTCAGGACCTGACAGACACACCTATGGGGACACACGTCAGAGAGCCAGACTGGAAGGGGTTCCTGGGTTCTGGGAGCTGCTCTCCCACCCCCACCAGCCCCCTGCCCAGCTCTGTGGCACACACCACCTGCTGTGCTTCCTCCCAAACCTCCAGGCTGGGGGCTGGGGGCCAGAGCGCCCAGAAGCTCAGAGAAAGGGACACAGATACTGAAGGGGAAACAGAGGACCCGGGAGAGGGGGACAGAGAGCCAGAGACAGGGCAGATTGTGTGTGTTTGAGAGAGAAGGAGGGACAGAGACCCAGAGAGGCAGGGAGACGGAGACCCAGAGAGAGGGGCACACAGACCCAGAGACAGGGAGACAGAGACCCAGAGAGAGAGAGGGGGACAGAGACACAGAGAGAGGGGACAGAGACCCAGAGAGAGGGGGGAAGAGAGACCCAGAGACAGGGAGAGAGAGACCCAGAGAGAGAGGGGGACAGAGACCCAGAGAGAGAGAGGGACAGAGACACAGAGAGAAGGGGACAGAGACCCAGAGAGGGGGACAGAGATCCAGAGAGAGAGGGGTATAGAGACCCAGAGAGAGGGGGACAGAGACCCAGAGAGAGGGGGACAGAGACCCAGAGAGAGGGGGACAGAGACCCAGAGACAGGGAGACAGAGACCCAGAGAGAGATGGGGACAGAGACCCAGAGAGGGGGACAGAGATCCAGAGAGAGAGGGGGACAGAGATCCAGAGAGACAGGGGGATAGAGACCCAGAGAGAGGGGACAGAGACCCAGAGAGAGAGGGGGACAGAGATCCAGAGAGAGGGGGACAGAGACCCAGACAGAGATGGGGACAAGAGACCCAGAGAGGGGGACAGAGACCCAGAGAGAGAGGGGGACAGAGATCCAGAGAGAGGGGGATAGAGACCCAGAGAGAGGGGGATAGAGACCCAGAGACAGAGGGACAGAGACCCAGAGAGACAGGGGGACAGAGACCCAGAGAGACAGGGGGATAGAGACCCAGAGAGAGAGGAGGGGCAGAGACCCAGAGAGAGAGGAGGGGCAGAGACCCAGAGACAGGGGGACAGAGATCCAGAGAGAGGGGGATAGAGACCCAGAGAGAGGGGACAGAGACCCAGAGAAAGGAGGGACAGAGACCCAGAGAGAGAGGGGGCAGAGACCCAGAGAGAGGGGGGCAGAGACCCAGAGAGAGGGGGGGACAGAGACCCAGAGAGAGAGAGAGGGACAGACACGGGTGGGGGGTGGGGGACAAGTGCTCAGAGGGGACGCAGAGTCCTAGAGAAGTGCCGTTCAGAGACCCTGAGAGGAGAGAGAGCCGAGAGAGTAGGCGCCTCTGGGATCTAGGAGTTGGGCTGGAGTGGGGTCCTCAGCGGGTGGGCAGGGGCTGCGGGGCTGAGCGGGTATGGAGAGAGGTGGGGGCTGGGCCGAACGGGCGCGGGGTCTAAGTGGGAACGGTGGGGATCCTTTGGGGTTGACAGGTCGGTTTTGGGTAGGGATGTGTTCGAGAGGAGGCGGGCCCGGGCGGGTGAGAAAAGCCCAGAGCGAAGGGGCGACTTCCTGCTGGAGGGCGCAGGGACCCCAGTTCCCGGTGCCGGGGGCGGCGGGGCGGGGAGACCCTGCGGGGCTGCGCGGGGGCGCCTTGCCTCGCGGGCCGCGGGGAAGGCAGGGACCGAGCGAGGGAGGAGGACCCTCTCCAGACCCGCAGCCAGGCGGCGGCCGGTGCCGGCGCCCCGGTCCAGATCCCTGCGCCGCCGGCCCGCGCGCCTGTGTCTGGGTTCGCATCTCCGCGTTCCGGGGCGCCCAGTCCACGCCTCCTCCAGGACCCCCGCCTCCCCCGGCCGTCTCTGTCTCTACGGGGGTCTCAGCCCGCGTCTCTAGCAGCGGGTCTCCTGCGCCTCGGCGTCCCTCTCCGCGTCTCTCGGTCCCGGCGCCCCTGCCTCGGGCTGTCCCCCTCTCCGAGCCTCAGTTCCCTGCGCGCCTCCATTTCCCTCCTTCCCCCGCCCGGTCTCCGTCTCCCCTCTGTCTCCACAGCCCGCTCGTCTCTCCTCCCTGGCTCCATGGCTCTGTCTCTGCCCCGGGCTTGCTGTCGTCGGATCTCTATCTGAGTGTCTGTGTCTCCACTCACCCCCGACCCGGACTCCCGAGCCCCCTCCCGGGTCCCCCACTCCCATTGAGGCCCGGGGTGGTGGGGTGGGGGGGCGCTGCGGCGGGAGCTGTGTGTTCCCAGCGCAAAATAGACTCCCGTTGCCATGGCGACGCGCGCGGGGCCTCCGAGACGCGAGGCTTCGGGCTGCGGGGTGAGGAGGGGGGACACCTGGATCCGGAAGGCGGGGGCCAGGGGCGCCGCCGCCCGGTCCCATGGGCCCCTCCTACGTCCCTGGGGAGAGGGGTGCTGGGCGCTCCGACGCTGGGAGCCCGGGGCCGGACCTCCTGCGAGGGGTCTGGGCTCCCGGGGTCGGCGATGGGTCTCCGATGGCCCAACGCGGGGCGGGCTGGCTGACAGCTCTGACGCCAGTGTCCCTGAGGACTCAGGGGTGGCCTCTCAGGTCTCCAAGATTGGGGAAGAGGCAAGGTTGCATATCTGGAGGGGGGGCCCTCCCTGGGGGGGCTGCAGAGTTCCAACTCCCAGATCTGCAGAATTCTGGGAGCCCCCATGTGGGTTCCAGAACTCCTGCGTCTGGGGAGCAGGGACCACAAGGCTGGGCCATCAGCCCTTCCTCCCTTCCATCCATCCGTCCATCCATCCACCCATCCGCATGCTTGTCTCTTCCTTCTTCCCCGTCTCCACGTCCCCGTGCCTCAGTTTACCCCCGCACCGGGGTGCGGTCTCGCTCACCTCGCTTTCCGGATGCGGGACCCTTGGGGAGCCGGGGGCGGCGGCGTGGGGGGCGGCCGGGGGCGGTGGCGGAGCGCGTGTCTGCCGGCAGCCTGGCTAGGCGCGCGCCGACGGGGGGCGACCCCGGCCGCGGTTCTCCTCCGAGCAGATGCGCCGCGTCCGTGCAGATGTGTCAGCCGCCAGCCCTCGCCTTTGCCTCGCGCCGGCTTCGAGCCGAGAAGAGGCACCTCCCCCTCCCCACCTGCTGGGGACCCCGCTTTCTCCCTCCTGCAGCCCCCAGTCGCCCCCGGGATCCCCCCCAACCCCAGAATGGTTTGGTCCACAGCCACATAAGTGTTTATTCTGCGAGTCCGAGTCCCACAGCCTGAGACTCTCCTTCCCCTCCCCTTCCCGCCCCGTGAAGTGGCCCGGGGCCGAGCCCCGCCTCCATCTCGGCTCAGCCAATTCCCGCCCAGCTCCCAGGAGTCTCATTTGCATTTCCGGGAGCGGCTGTCCAATAGAAAGCCAGCACCCTGCCCCCGTCTCCCAAGGGGGCGGCACTCCTGGTGGACCGCACCACTCTAGGGATCCAGGGATGGGGGAAAGCGCTTCCACTGAGGTCCGGGAGTCAGGAGGGTGGTCTTCCCTCAAGGCAGGGATGGAGTTCAGTGGAGGAGAGGGTTCTGGCCTTGGAAGAAGCCCAGCAGTCCGCTGTCTGGGGCGGGCTCCTTGATGAGCTTCTGGATCTATAGGGGCGGGGGCTATGGGTCAGGACGAGTGAAGGGTCCTGATCTCCGTGGGTGACAAGTCTGAGGGACACCTCTCCGTCTTCTTTTCCCGGACCTTCTGGGCAGCAGCTGCCCAAGACAACGCTCCCTCTTCTCAAGACTTTTCCTGCGGCCTCCCTTTCATTACACACGTCTGGTTGAGCTCCTGACTGCCTGCCATCTTGGTCTGCTTTGCTGGCTTGGACCACTTAGGGTGGACAGCTCTGTGCTGGGGCTTCTGATCTACACCTTCTTCTCTTAAATAACCTCATCTCTCCCATCCCTCTTCTGGGCCCTCAACTCCCAAGTCCAACCTGGACTTTGCCCCTGAACCCCAGACTCATCTATCCAACCGCCTCTTAAATAGACATGAGCAACCAACCGCGTTCACCCAACAACAAGTCTCAGCAAGTTTATCTCCAGAAATTAAATACAATAATAAAGATGGTCCACGTCTGTAATCCTAGCACTTTGGAAGGCTGAGGCGGGCAAATCACAAGGTCAGTAGTTGGAGACCAGCCTGACCAAAATGGTGAAACCCCGTCTCTACTAAAAAATACAAAAATTAGCTGGGCATGGTAGCATGTGCCTGTAATCCCAGCTACTTGGGAGGCTGAGGCAGGAGAACTGCCTGAACCTGGGAGGCAGAGGTTGCAGTGAGCTGAGATTGTGCCACTGCACTCTAGCCTGGTGTTGGAGCAAGAGTCAGTCTCAAAAATAATAATAATGGCCAGGCGCGGTGGCTCAAGCCTGTAATCCCAGCACTTTGGGAGGCCGAGGCGGGTGGATCACGAGGTCAAGAGATCGAGACCATCCTGGTCAACATGGTGAAACCCCGTCTCTACTAAAAATACAAAAAGTTAGCTGGGCATGGTGGTGCGTGCCTGTAATCCCAGCTACTCAGGAGGCTGAGGCAGGAGAATTGCCTGAACCCAGGAGGCGGAGGTTGCGGTGAGCAGAGATCGCGCCATTGCACTCCAGCCTGGGTAACAAGAGCGAAACTCAGTCTCAAAAAAAAAAAATAATAATAATAATAATAATAATAAAGAAAACAACGAAAAAGCCTGTATCCCCACTGCCTCCACCCTGGTCAAGCCCTCCTCACCGCTTGCCTGGATGCCCAAATTAACCTCCTTACTGACAGGCCTCCCTCCTCCCCTCTATACCGGACTCCCTAATCCACTGACCACACAGTGACATAAAGAACTTTTATAAACTGCCCATCGGATATGGCCAGCTCCCCTGCACAAAACCCTGATGGCTGCCTATGGCTGAAATCCCCCTGCCCGGCTCCTCCCTCCCGGTGCTCACCACGGCCTGCTACAGCTCCTTGGACGAGGAAAGCGCAGTCCCACCTCCCCTGGGAACACTGTGAATGTCTGATGCCCCCTTCCCCTGCAGGCTGGAATTCTGGGCCACCCCTGCCACTCTCGCTCATCCCTCGGCAAGCCCTGGCCCAGCTGCAGGCCACAGCATGTCCCTGAACAGGGACTGATGTGGACATCAGGGCTCGCCACACTGGCTGGCACGGAGTGGGTGCTCAGTGAATTCCCACAGAGCTGAAGTAGAAGGAAGACAAGGAGCAGACCTGGTATGGCCTGGGAATGTCAAGTCTGGGGCTGCTCCAGCATCCTGAGGGCTAAGGGCTTCACGCAGGGGCCCCAGTGCCTGGCTGAGCCCGGTAGCAGGGCGGTCACTCTGGCGGTGGGTGTGGAGTCTGAGAAACCGCAGGAGGGCCACCCGGGCCTCATGGGGCAGAGGCAGAGGAGATGGGGAGTTGGGGATGGGCATGGCGGGCCAAGGGGCTTCGACCTACCAGGTCTCTGCTGACCTGTTCTTCCCTAGTGTCCGCCCGGCCCCTCCCTCCTTCAGTTCATGCTAAAGTCACTTGCTCCAGGACACCCCTGGACCATCCAGTACAACCCCTCCTCTGTGCCCCGACCCTCGGGATCACCTCCCCTGTTTATCTTTCTCTGTGGTTCTTGTGGTCCCTCTGCCGGCGCCTTTCATGGATTTATGGCGGTGACAGTGACCAGCAGCCTCCCCTCCAAGGATCTGGCACCCCCTGCTGGTGCCGGATGTATTCCGAGAGCCTGAAGACAAGACCTTTGCCAGATGCAGGGGAGGTGGGGGCAGCTGCGGGGGCGGGGGCATTACCTCCTTGAACTGGGGGTTGGCAGCATCACCCACAAGCTGCAGAATGAGGCCTTCGCTGGTGGAGAGGAAGGCACCACTTTGTCGCATGCGGGCCAGCGCCACCAGCCGGTCCACCTGGCTGCGAGTGGAAGAGAGGGAGGGACGGTCGGTGTGGACGCCGCAGCCCAGACACCCAGACGCACTGGCACCCTGGCAGGAATGCCACCTGTGGCCCTTCCTGGGAGCCCCTGCTGGCTCCCATGTGCACCCGCCCAGGGAGGAACCCTCTCACCTGCGTGAGGAGCAGGCGTCCACCACCACATGCACCTGCAGTCCCCGGGCCAGCAGGTCCAGGCTTGTGTTCTGTGGGCAGAGAGAGGCCAGGGTCAACCCCGGGTAAGAACAGGGGTGCTGGGTAAGGAAGTGGGGATGCTGAGTCAGAATTAGGGGACCAGAATGGGGAAGAGGGAGGCTCGGATCAGAGCTGGTCAGGAGGGGATCCAAGATGGGATGGGCCCACGTCAGGGGGGTCCTGCAGGGAAGTCGAGGCTTCCGGTCAGGGAAGGAGGTCCTATTTAGGATGGGGGTCCCAGGTGAAAAGGAGGGACCGCTGGGGTCAGTCAGCGTCTCACCAAGATGCAGGCCTGCGCCTCAATGCCGCAGAGCAGCACAGATCGCAGCTGGGGCCGGCTGTCCAGCTCCTGCCGCAGGGCGGGCACCATGCTGAAGCAGGTCTTGCTCAGTGGCTGCAGGCCCTCAGCCCCCAGCTCGGGCACTGTGGGGCCCAGGCCTTGCGGGTACTGCTCCGTCAGCATGACTGGCACCTCCAGCAGCCGGGCCACCTGTGCCAGTGATGGGGAAGAAAGATCAGGGTCTGAGGGAGGAGGGGCTGGGCCTGGACTCCTGGGTCTGAGGGAGGAAGAGCTGGGCCTGGACTCCTGGGTCTGAAGGAGGAGAATTTGGGCCTGAACTCTGAGGGTGGAGGGCTGAGTGTGGATGCTGGGTCTTAGGGTGGATCCTATGTCTGAGGGTGGAGGGCTGAGCCTGGATCCTGGGTCTGAGGGTGGAGGGCAAGACTGGATGCCGGGTCTGAGGGTGGGGTCCCTGAGGTCATACCCTGAGCATGCGGGCAGCCACCGAGACGATCTGTGGGAAGTAGGCGATTTTGTGGCGAAATTTCTCCTGCATGTCACAGAGGAACAGGATAGAGGATCCTGGGAGGACTCGGCCTAGGCTGGGCCTGGCAGCTGCCATTTTCTGGGGGTGGGCAGAGGGCAGTGGGTCAGGCCTGAGGGCTCCTCCCAGTATTTTCGGTTGGCATCCAGGGTCCTTGCACTCAGAGCCCTGCAGGACCCGGGGCACCAGTGCCAACCTTCTGACCTCCAGGGCTTTGCGTCTGCTGCTCTCCCAGCCTGCAATGGGCTTCTTTCTTATTTCTGTCCTGTTCAGCAGGGAGGCGACTTCTTGGGAAGCCTTCTGGGCCATGTCCACACGTGGCTCTGGGTGTTCCCCTCCCGCCCCTGCCTTCTCTTAGGTGGGGACTGGGCCTGTCAAGTGCTTCATGATCCCGGTTACCATCAACCCCAAAATGGAGGCTCTGCTGGGCATCCTCCTGCATCTGGCCAGCCCACTCCCCAAGGCGTCCTGAATGAAGGGTCCATCCTGATCCTCACCCTGCCCCAAGAGGAAACTGAGGCCATATTCTTCAGCCATAGAAAGGAAGGAAGTCCTGGCACAGGCCACAGCATGGATAGACCTCGACACAAAAGCCACAGGGTATGCAATCCCATTTACCTGAGATGCCCAGAACAGACAAATCTGCAGGCAGAAGGTAGATGGGGCTGAGCGCCATGGCTCACGCCTGTAATCCCAGCACTTTGGGAGGCCGAGGCAGACAGATCGCCCGAGCTCAGGAGTTCAAGACCAGCCTGGCCAACATGGCGAAACCCTCATCTCTATTAAAAAAACAAAAATTAGCCAGGCATGGTACTGTGTGCCCATAATCCCAGCTACTTTGGAGGCTGAGGCAGGAAAACAGCTTAAAACCCAGGACGCCGAACTTGCAGTAAGCCAAGATCGCACCACTGCACTGGTGACTGAGCAAGACTCTGTCTCAAAAAAAAAAAAAAAAAAAGAGAGAGAAAGCAGATGGGTGGCTGCTAGGGGCTGTGGCAGGGAGGAGTTCAGGGTGACTGCTGAGGGGTGCAGCGTTTCCGTTTGGGATGGTGAAAAGGCTCAGGAGCTCGGTGGCTGCACATCAGGACCCTATGAATGGCGCTCCACTGTGCACTTCCAAACGGCTGAAAGGGTATGTTTTATGTTAAGTGCATTTTCACATAATAAACAAAGAAAAAGAAAAAGAAAGGACAGGCCGCTGAAGCCCCCTGGCCAGCGACTCTTGCAGGGGAGGAAACCTCGACCCAGAGGGCCCGTTCACCTGCCCTAGGTCCTGCAGCCATGCAGGGCACACCTGACTTCCACTCGGTCAGAGTGTCTACACTGTCAGTGCGTCCACACCGCAGGGGCTCTGTATCAGCACGCCTTGGCTTGTGTCCCTGGGACGCTTGTGTCTGGGTCCCCGAGTTTGCTGCACAACTGGGCGTTCGGGCTGGGCTTTTGTCTGCAGCTCTCTCGCCGTCTGTGTGTACCGTTTGTACTCACTCATTTATTCATTAATTCACCAGCAAAATGGGAGACCCTGCAGGCTCACTGGAAGCAAGACAGGAGGTGATCCGGGAAGCCGAGGGAGGCTCAAGCAGCTGCGCTTTCCAAAGCTGGGTAGTGAGGACACTGGTATTCATTTTCTTTCCTTCTCTCTCTCTTCCTGGCCTCAAGCAGTGCCCCTGCTTTGGCCTCCCAAACTGCTGTATCATTTTTCTTTTTCTTTTTTTTCAGACAAGGGCTCATAGTGTCACCTAGGTTGGAGTGCAGTGGTGCATCATGGCTCACTGCGTCCTTCACCTCCTGGGCTCAAGTGATCATCCCACCTCAGCCTCCCAAGGAGCTACAGGTGCATGCCACCACACCTGGCTAATTTTTGTATTTTTAAATTTTTAGAGACAGGATCTTACTATGTTGCCCAGGCTGGCCTCAAATTCCTGGGCTCAAGCGATCCTCCCACCTCAGCCTCCCAAAGTGCTGGGATTATACGCGTGAGCCACCGTGCTTGGCCTATTATTCTTTGAACAAAATCTATCTACCACAGCAAATGTTTTCTATGTGTACTGTATCTCAAATTTAAAAATGAATAAATGGCTAAAATGGTGAATTTTACGTTGTGCAAATTTTATCTCATTAAATAAAATGGAATGGAAACTCCCTCTGAAACAAAACCACAGTGAATTAATCACATAATTACAACTGTGGTAAGTGCTGGGATTTTGAGGGAGCCGGATCTAGCTTGGCAGGGGCTGCTATGTTCTCCCAGAGGAACTGAAGACAGAAAAATGATCTTTTAAAGGCTGGGCGCGGTGGTAATCCCAGCACTTTGGGAGGCCAAGGTGGGTGGATCACGAGGTCAGGAGTTTGAGACGAGCCTGGCCAACATGGGGGAACCCCCGTCTCTACTAAAAATACAAAAAAAATAGCCAGGTATGATGGTAGGCGCCTGTAATCCCAGTTGCTCAGGAGACTGAGGCAGGAGAATCACTTGAACCTGGGAGGCGGAGGTTGCAGCGAGCTGAGATTGTGTCACTGCACTCCAGCCTGGATGATAGAGACTCTGTCTCAAAAAAAAAGAAGATCTTTTCAGAAAACACAAAACTGACTATTACTAGACTATTACTACCCAGTCTCAACTGTCCCCTGACTCCCTGTGGCTTCTCTCTGTCCTCAGGACTAAGATGCAGACGCCCCCTTTCTCCCTGCAGAGCTGTGAAGCCCCTCCAGCCTCAGCCCAGCCACATCCGCCTCTGCCTCTACAACAGCCCTTGCCATGTCCGCCCCCTAGAGTGACCCTCTCATGCCCACTTATGTGCTAATTCTTCCTCCCCTGAGCAGCAGGCAGGACCTGGGACGCCCAGGCCCCAAAGGATGGTTCTGAGGGAACCAGAAGCTGAAGAGCTGACAGGTGGGTCACAAGGGCCCTGAAGTCTCTCTGCTGAGGGCAGTGGGAAGCCATGGAGGGGCAATCTGGGGGCCGACATGTCCGAAAGCCTAGGACAGGCATCTCTAGCACCCGGGACCTTCCCTCTGGCCTGGCAGGAGTGTGCGTTGCAACAACTAGGGAGAGCCGAGCAGACACATTTCTCAAGATGATGGATACATAAAGCCTCTGAACACAAAAGCTGCTCCTAAGCACTTAGTAACAACATAAAGTTACTCATTGCAGGACTCTTCCCCAGAGCAAAGGTGCAGAAGTAAGTACTGATGTCCACAATTAGGATACTGGTTATGTAAGTCATGGCGTAACTATACTCCGGTATTCCTTGCAGCCAGAAAAAATTACGAGGAAGCTCTTTAAGTAACCATACCAAAACATGTTTGAGAGAAGTTAAGTGAAAAAGAAGCAGAACAGTGTGTATGGAATGCTCCTTTTTGTGCCAGAAAAAAAAAAAAAAGAGAGAAAATGTGTCTGTGTCGCATATATCTGTATCTGCTATCTCTGGCAAACACGCAAGGAACGGGAGACAGGTGGCTGAACCAGGCGCTGGGGAACAGAGTGTAGGAGCTTTGATTTTCACGGGGTCCTATTCTGTTTCTTCTGAATTCTGGACAATGTGCAACAGGTTGTCTAGTCAATGCTATTGATAATCAAGGGTTTATGTAAAGCCCAAACCCAACAAAACGGATCTATGGTGTCAAAAGGCAGGACAGTGGTTGCCCAGGGACCACAGTGATGGAAACGGGGATGGTGGGAGATCCTGGAATGTGGTGCATGCATGTTTGACTTTTTTTCTTTGAATACTGTTTTTTTTTTTTTTTTTTTTTTTTTTTGAGACCAAGTTTCGCTCTTGTTGCCCAGGCTGGAGTGCAATGGCATGATCTCGGCTGACTTGCAACCTCCGCCTCCCAAGTTCAAGTGATTCTCCTCCCGTGTAGCTGGGATTACAGACACCCAGCACCACGCCCGGCTAATTTTGTATTTTTAGTAGAGATGGGGTTTCTCCATGTTGGTAAGGCTGGTCTCCAACTCCTGATCTCAGGTGATCCACCCACCTCAGCCTCTCAAAGTGCTGGGATTACACTGAGCCACTACGCCTGGCCCTGGATACCGTTTACACCAGCGCGCTCCCTTTGTAAACAGTTATTTGAGCTGTGTATTTGCAAACTGTATGATTTTCTGTATATGTGGTATTAGTACATAAAAAGTTTTCAAAATGCAAAATACAAAGATGGCTTCATGGCCCCACCGGTGCAGCTGGCCTGGAGACAAAGGCCAGAGAGGAGGAGGTCGGGCTGGGGTGCAGTGGGACAGGGAAGAGGGATAGGAAAGGACAGGTGGGGCTGCAGGGAAAGTCGGGGAGGAAGACCTCCAGTTTCTGGTTGGGCGAGGGGCATGACCTGAAGACTAATAGGGGATCCTGGGGAGGGAAACTGGTTTTGGGGAGGTCAAAAATTGGGGTGAGAGTGAGTGTGTGTGAGAGAGAGAGTGTGGAGGAGAGGTCTGGGCTGGAGAGAGTTGGGCGTGTCATGGGGAAGGACGAGAGATTTCAGCCTGGGTGGAGGGTCCCCAAGGCCAAAGGAGGCATTGCTGGAGGTGGGCGGCCACAGGGGGCGGGGTAGGGCTGTTTACTTCACCACGAGGTCTCGGAAACCCAGGCTTGGAGCCCGGACTTCCTGGTTCTGTGACCCTGGGAAAGCTTCTCTCTGTCTTAGCCTCAGTTTCCCTGTCGGAGAGATGGGGATTAAACCTACCCACCCCGCAGGGCTGTTACAGAGGAGGCGGGCGCGACTCGGGGGACGGTTTGAGTCTCTGGCCAGCCAATTATGGCGGGGCCAGGTGGAGTCCTCTTTCTGGTCCTGTGACCTTGGCCCCGGACGCCCGGGCAGAGCCTCAGTTTCCCCATCTGCTAGGCGGAAAGGTCGGTCTCCAAATAGCGCCAGCAGCGAGAAGACTTACCCGGAAGGTGCCGGGTTCGGGCCTGGAACGGCCCCTCCGCAGGTGAGGCCAGGGGCACCCTCACCCCTCGGCGCTCGGACAGCCACTGCTGAGGCCTCTCCCGGGCTTCCTGGGGCGGGTCACCGTTTCTTTAGGGCTGGACACGTGGCCCGCCCCCTGCAGCGTCCGCGTTCCGCCCACTTAGGGCCGAGCCGTCCAATTGACACTCATCATGCTCGCCACCTCCTCCCCCCACCCCCCGCTCCAGCCAATCCTCATGTGCCACTGCCTCTCCCCGCCCCCCCGCCTCTCAACCAATCCGCATATGCCGCTGCTTTGCTCCCGCCCCAGGGGAGGGGCCGCGCCGCCAACGCTATCAGTCCCGAGAAAATGATTAGCTCGCTACAACGCTGTGGGGGTGGGGCAGCAGCGCGTCCGGCCAATGGAGAACCGTAGAGGGCGTGAATGGCGGCCAACGGGGCGGAGTCGCGCGGTGGTCTCCGAGGCCTCAGATCCCGGCCGGAGAGAGGGCGTCTCGGCCGGCCGCATTGCACTGAGCAGATCAAAGAGGCCGGGAGAGACAGAGGGACCCTACATAGAGTAGAGGCAGGTCTGCGGTTCGAACCCTGGCCCTTCTGTCAAGAAACGGCGGCTTACGAAGATACCCAAGCACTTTCCAGGAAGGGGCTGCTAAGGGAGCGATTAAGTGAGGAATTTGATGCCCCCCCCATCCTTTGTTCTCTGTGCTACCTCAGTTTCCCCATTTGTGCAGCACTAGCCCCCTCGAATGGTGTTTAGAATAATTTAGATTCTGTCCTTGGAAATGGTGGTTGAGAGAAAGAGAGAACTTCCCATCTGTCTTGGAATAAACCACAAGTATGCGCCACAACACCCGACTAATTTTTTAAAAATTTTTTGTAAAGACGGAGATCTCACTCTGTTGCCCATGCTGGTCTTGAACTCCTGGGCTCTAGTGATCCGCCTGCCTTGGCCTCCCAAAGTGCTGGGGTTAGGTGTGAGCCGCCGCACCCAGCCTTGTATTTTATTTTCTTTGCAGTACTAACTCCAATCTGAATTGGAAATGAATCTTGCTTTTCGAAAAATGCATGGACATACTCTTTCATTGTCAGTTTCCCGCCAAAACACACATATGCCTACAGGAAAGGGAGCTCCCTGAGGCAGGGGTCCCACTTGCCTCGTTCACTGCTGAATCCTCAAGTCCTAGATCTGGGCCTGGCCCATACTAGGCGCTCGATACATCTTTGGGAATAAATGAGCGGAGAGCAGACATTAGGCAGAGGTGAGCCGGGTGAAAGTGAGGGCTGGATGCCAAGATGGGGCTGGGAAGAAGGAAGGGAGAAGGTGGGGAGCAAGAACAGGGTCCCCAGAAGAGGCGGAGGTGGGGCCCTGAGCCCAGGAGGAGACCTCTGAGGCAGCTGTCTGAGGTGGGGGGTCTGGGCTTGGTTTATTTTCCCAGGGGCTACCAGAAAGGGAGTAGACAGGTTGGGGGCCCCCGGAGAGGGCTAGAGAGCTGTCATGGAGGGGCCTCTAGCCTGTCCTGGATTCTGGGCTGGGTTGTGATTGACCTCAAGGGGAGCTGGTCCCCCAGCCCTCAGGGATCCCCTGAGAATCCCAGGCATGAGGCACCTCCCACCAGTCCCCCCATCCCCAGTTGGGAGCCACCTGCTCTGCCTCTTCCCCTAGGGCCTGCTGGGGAGGGGGCAGGAGGCCACAGAAATGTGGGAGCTGCCTCTGGCCTGGCTGGCCCAGGTCATGATAGGCCAGACCCAGGGTTGGCAAGGGAGCATCAGGGCCAGAGGAGGGGTCCCATGGTACTGAGGCACACTCTGGGGTGAGCGAAATGTTGTCAAAGAGGTCGAGGGTAGAGGTGTCCAGGGTGGCGAGACTCAGGCTGGGGCTGGTGTGGGGAACCTCAGGGGGGGCCACAGCACAGGCCACTCCCAGGAAGGGGGACGGAGGCGGCAGGGGCGGCTTTCGGAGCGAGGGTCTCTGGGGAGGTCCCTCCTGGGACAGGATGGATAGGGCCAAGCGCTGGGTGGCGGCCTCGATCTTGGAGAACTGCCTGCAGAGACAGGTGTGAGCAGGGTAGTCTCTAATGCAGGCGTCCCCAAACTACGGCCCTCGGGCCACATGCGGCCCCCTGAGGCCATTTATCCGCCCCCTCCCCCCGCCACCCCTGCACTTCAGGAAGGGGCACCTCTTTCACTGGTGGTCAGTGAGAGGAGCACAGTAGGTGGCGGCCCTCCAACGGTCTGAGGGACAGTGAACTGGCCCCCTGTGTAAAAAGTTTGGGGACGCCTGCTCTAACGCCTGAACTGAAGCGACCCTCCTGTCTCAGCCTTCCCCAGTGCTGGAATTCCAGGCGTGAGCCACCGCCTCTGGCCAGCATCGTGGTTGCAAGGGTCACCTATGCGGTCATTTCACACCATTCTAGCTATTTATTTTGGTGATTTTCCTGACTGCCCGCCACACCCATGAAAACACAACCTCCACGAAGGTGAGGAACTTTAAATGCTTTGCTGGCACACAGTTGGCACTCAATAAATGCACATTGACTGTTGCTGGCATCCAGCCCTGGGGGCTGCTCCTCTCCGTTCTGTCTGTGCCTGGTCTCCCCCAACCAAGGGTGCTGGCTGCTCCTGCCCGTCTTCCCCCTCCTGTGCCCACCTCCCTCCACACCCCCTCCCCGCGCCCCACGGCCCCCTCACCTGCAGATCTGGTTGTGCAGAAACCTTCTGTGGTTGGGCCGCCTCTTGGGGGGCCGGGTGCGCCGGGGCTGTAGGGCCCGCAGCATGTGGGCAGCCGCCCCACTGATGAAGGCACACAGCTCCCGGGGGCCGGGCTCAGAGACCCCAGGGCCTTCGGGGACCCCGGGGTGCATGGCCCGGGTGGTCTGGAGTAACTCCCCACAATACTGCTGACCAGAGCACCCCCAAATCTGTGAGCAGGAGGGCAGGGGACTCTGGAGGCAGGGCACCCCGGGCTGGGAAGGAGGCGGCACTGGGAAATGGGCCAAGGCCTCACCGAGGACGCCCTAACCCTGTCCCGACCTCCCGGGAGCCCAATCTGAAGTCTGAGGGACCGGCAGGTGGGGGCTGATATAGGAAGGCAGGGAGGGGAGGGGACTTTCTGGGGACCCTCTAAGTGCCCAATTAGCGCATAGTTGGACCTGGGATATGGGACCGGCGTGCGTTGGCGGGAGGCAGGGAATCGTGCCTGCAGATGGCCAATTAAGGGGACAAAGGCCTCGCTCCGGAGACGAGGCGGCCAGTGAGTCAAATACAGCGATTGAGCATGGAGGACCCTTAATTGGAGCCGTGGGACCGAGGCTAGGAGGGAGGGAAGCTGAGCTGCACGTGCCTGCCCACCTCTAGACACACCTGTGCCTCCCTCCCTCCCTCTGCTCAGCCTGGTGCCTTAGGAGGGGAAACTGAGGCTCCCAGAAAGGCTGGTGCGAGCCGAGGTCTCCAACCAGCAGGAGGGGTTGGCTCCCAGGGAGTCGCCCCTGAAATCATGGGGCTCAGAATCCTGAGCAGCAGAGTGAGTGGGGAGAGGGGAGGGGTGAGGCAGGACGGGAGAAGAGGGCGCAGTCTCCCCCAAGGCGTTTTATTGAGGGACTGGGGTGTCTGTGGGAGGCAGAGGACAGGCTGGGTCCCCTTGTTTTTGGGAGGGTGTTGGCTGGAGTTCAGACTCTGGGTCTCAGGTTGGGTCGGGGAGCATGTGGCGGGGGCAGCCTTAGTCTCTGCTCCGATCCCCACCCTTGGGGGTCTGTGCTGGGAAGCCAGGATTCCCTGAAGCTGATGTAACAGAGGCTTAGTACCTAGAACCACAAGCGCTGATTCTCCTACCGATCTGGGAGGCAGGCGTGAAAATGTGTCTATTTATCTGGAGACTGAATCTTGCTCTGTCGCCCAGGCTGGAGTGCAGTGGAGGATCTTGGCTCACTGCAACCTCTGCTTCCGCATTCAAGCAGTTCTCCTGTCTTGGCCTCCCGAGCAGCTGGGAGTACAGGCAGCACGCACCACCATGCCCAGCTAAATTTTGTGATTTTAGTAGAGACAGGGTTTTGCCATATTGGCCAGGCTGGTCTCAAACTCCTGACCTCTAGTTATCTACCCGCTTCCACCTCAGCCTCCTGAGAAGCTGGGACTACAGGCACCTGCCACTATGCTCGGCTAATTTTTTGTTTTGTAGACACCAAGTCTCACTATGTTGCCCAGGCTGGTCTCAACTTCTGGATTCAAGTGATTCTCCTGCCCTGACCTCCCAAAATGCTGATCACAGGCGTGAGCCCCAGCGCCCGGCCTCCTGTCCTCTGCATTGTCTCTCTGACTTCATCTCCCCAACTTGCGTTCTGGCTCCTCTCACTGTCTCTCTTTCACCGTCTGTGGAGTTTCTCTCAGTATTTATGTTTTAGGCTCTGAATGCTCTTCACAGCCTTGTCTTTCAGCTTCTCTGTTTCTGTCTTCCCCAGGGCAGGTCGTGTGTGTGTGTGTGTGCACGTGCATGTGTGTGCATGGTGTGAGTGCATGTGTGTGTGCATATGTATGCATGTGTGTGTGTGTGTGTTAGATTGTTACTGGATGGTACTGTGCAGTTCCAGGCTCCCGGTGTCCCAAACGGGGAGAGCCGACTGACCTCTCCAAGGTGAGATCAGCCTCGGTTTATTACATTTCATAGCCTTTTTGTTTTTAAAAAGGACTTTTTTTTTTTGAGATGGAGTCTCACTCTGTCACCCAGGCTGTAGTGCCTCCGCCTCCTGGTTCAAGAGATTCTGCCGCCTCAGCTTCCTGGGTAGCTAGGATTACAGGCACAGGCCACCATGCCCGGCTAATTTTTGTATTTTTAGTAGAGACAGGGTTCACCATGTTGGCCAGGCTGGTCTGGAACTCCTGGCCTCAGGTGATCTGCCCGCCTCAGCCTCCCAAAGGCTGGGATTGCAGGCGTGAGTCAGTGTGCCTGGCCGTACATTTCATGGCCCTTTATATGTTTTTCATCACTTGCTTAACCTCACTTTATCTCCTGTAAGTTGAATGCTCATCCTTGCCTAATCTTACTTTATCTCTTTTGAGCAAATTGCTCATCTTTACTTCTATTTTTCATGACCAAACTGCTCCTGCAAGTCCTTCTGACTTTCCTTATCCTGCATGTTCCAACTCGCTGCTTCCTTCCTTATTTCGCACGGCCTGCTTCTGCCTCTGGCAGGCTTTGCTCTGCTATGCTGAAGCTAACCTACATCCAAGGGTCCCCTCCGCCCCCGACTTTCTCTGCTATTCTCCTGCTTCAAGATGGCTGTGAGTCTGGTTCACGCCTGCGGTGTTGCGGGTGGCCTGAAGGTTTCCTGTCCTGTTCTACTCCAGGTCTCAGGCACAGAGGGAAGGGCCCAGGGTCCATTGGTGAGAGGCCGAGGGGAGTGGACCCCTGGGTCTCTGGAGGATGGGAGGGAAGGATTGACCGTGAGGGCCGGTAAGGGGCCACGCCACGTGGCTGGGGTATGACCTCTGCTACCTCAATACACACTTTATCATGTGCACTCACATCTGGTAGCTCTTATTTCAAAATCTGCATTCCACTGCGCAGGGGTCAAGAGCAACACCAGCTGGCCAGCTCTGTCCCGCTCAGGGCGGCTGCCTGCAGGCTGCGGCCTCGGGATGGTCCACCAGGGGGCGCGCCCACAGCCTGTGCTGGGCAGTCTGACTCCAGGGGTGCGGCCCCAGAATGTGGGGCCCTCTCCTGTCTCCTGTCACTGAGAAGAATCAACTACAGCTGAGAGCTGGCTTCATGGATGTCTGTTGAGGACCTGCACTTCCAGGTGCTGGAAGGTACTAAGGAACTCAGCCTAGTCTCCCCATCCCAGCCCTTGACATGTTGTGTGTGTTGGGGGTGGATTTAATCATTCAGCAAACATTTATTGAGCACCTTGCTTTACTAAGTGCTGGAGGAGGTGAAGTCAGAGACGCGGAGCGGGGCCAGACCCGCAGGGCCTTGAGAGCCGGGCAGGGGTTGGGCTATGAAGGTAAGCATGGTGGAGAGTCACAGAAGGTTTGGGTCAGGTGCAGTGCCCGGACCTCAAGATCCTGCTCCAACCTCCTTTGTAGGCCTTGCTACAGCTGGAATGTGGGGACCCCACCCCTTAATCCCCCTACCTCTGGATTGGGATGTCATGGCCAGTCCAGGAAGCCAGGAACAACCCAGGGTTTGTCCCTCCCTGTCCCCACCTGCTTATCTGCTCCCTCTTGTCCAGTCATTGTGGGGCCTTGTTTCCATATTTTTTTGAGGCAGTCTTGTCCTGTCACCAAGGCTGGAGTGCTGTGGTGTGATCTTGGCTCACTGCAACTTCTGCCTCCCGGGTTCAAGAGATTCTCCTGCCTCAGCCTCCCAAGTATCTGGAATTGCAGGCATGCACCACCATGCCTGGCTAATTTTTATATTTTTAGTAGAAACTGGGTTTCTACAATTAGACCTGTTTCGGGGGAAAAAAAAAAAAAAAAAAAAGGTGGGCGTCGTGGCTCACACCTGTAATCCCAGCATTTTGGGAGGCTGAGGCGGGTGGATCATGAGGTCAAGAGATCGAGACCATCCTGGCCAATATGGTGAAACCCCGTCACTATTTAAAAAAAAAAAAAAGAAAGAAAGAAAGAAAAAGAAATTGGGTTTCACCATGTGGCCAGGCTAGTCTCGAACTCCTGACCTCAAGTGATCTGCCTGCCTTGGCCTCCCAAAGTGCTGAGATTACAGGCATGAGCCACTGCACCCGGCCCCCTTAAAATTTATAATAAAAATATACAGATGGCAGAGTCACAGTGTATCACCCTGGTGTCCCCAACCGACGCAGAGGGGCTAACCCTGTCGCGTTTGGTTCACAACTCTTCTTCTGAGAGAAGGTAGGCCATGGCTGAATGTGTCCCCCCAGATTCAGATGCTGAAGTTGTAACCCCCAAGCTCTGGAGTAGAGGATATTAGGAGAAAGTGTTTGAAGAGGCAATTAAGTTAAAGTCACTAGGGTGGGCCCTAATGCAATCTGACTGGTGTCGTTATAGAAGAGATTAGGACACAGACATGCACAGAGGGAGCATGATGGAGGCCACACAAGGAGGACAACTGTCAGCAAGCCAGGAGAGAGGCCTCAGGGGAAGGCCACCCTGCTGACACCTTGAGCGCGGACTTCCATATCCAGAACCAGGAGAAAATATGTTTCTGCTGTTGGGGCCACTTAGTCTGTGGAACTTTGTTACGGGGGTCCTAGCTGTTAAACATGTGCTCTGAATGAAGAACCACCCCCCCCCCCAACAGGCTTTGTGTGAGCAACATGGCTGTTTATTCACCTGGGTGTGGGGGGGCTGAGTTTGAAAAGAGAGTCAGCGGAGGAGGGTGGTGGGATAGGAATTGGTTTCGGAGGTTTGGGGTAGGCAGTGGAAAGTTACAGAAGTTACAGTTAAGGGTGGCTTTTGCAAGCTGGGAGGGGGTTGTAGGGTCTAGAGTCAGGAGGTTGACCAAGGTTGGTTACAAAGTCCAGTTGCCTTATCAGTTGAGGTGGGAATAAGGAACAATGAAAGAATGACTCAAAGTTAATTAGGTGCCACAGGGGTTGATCGTTCTTCTTCTTTTTGTGGCCTTCCACTTACTTCAGACTTTCTAGTTCCAGGAACTCATCTAGAGTGTACGTGCAGGTCACAGAGGTTACCATGGCATAGTCCATGGTACAGTAAGCTTAAAAGACCTTACACTAGCAGACTCTTATAATATAATGAGTGTATTCATTATCTGCACTATGTAAGAAATAGCCACTAATGCATTGGGATTAAACAACATACATTCATTATCTCACAGGGCTGGCCTGAGTCTCCTCTCCTTACTGGCTACAAGGCGGGGCTAGGCTGTTCTAAAAACAAACCTATTGAATCCACATCACCTTTTTAGGGACAGCGGGTTGCCCAAGGCCATTGACTTCAAAACCTTTGTTCGCCTTCCGCTGGAAAGTGGAGAAAGCTAAGGAGAGGAAGAGCCGGTCTTAGCCTTGCCTCTCTCTCTCTTTTTGAGAGGGTATTGCTTTATTGCCTAGACTGGAGATCAGTGGTACAATTTCAGTTCACTGCAGCCTCAACCTCCCAGGCTCAAGTGATCCTCTCACCTCAGCTGACCAAGTAGCTGGTACTACAGGCATGCACCACCACATGAAGCTAATTTTTTGTAGAGATGGGGTCTTGCTATGTTGCCCAGAGTGGCTGTCCAATCCCTTTTGTAATGCCTCTAGGTGGGGAAGTAAATGAGGGGGGCTGAGCTGAGGGCCCATTTCACTATCAGAGAGACCCGACTGGCCTGAGGCAAGGAGGATGGCAATGGGCTCTCTGCCCCTCTTGGCAGCCAGCTGGGCAGCGCATTGCACATCCATGTCCCCACCTGGCATGGCACCCACTTTGTGTGGTTAATGCTGACATGAAAGGAATGTTTTGGCTGAGCTGGATGCCAAGGGTTTTACATGCACGAATACACAGAGACATCACCGCCAAGATCCTGTAAGACAGGGGTGGTTCCATTTCAGCGCATATCAGCCCTGAGTTCCAGCCTGCTTGTAGACTTGGGGAAACTGGGTGGAAGGCTGGAAAAATCCATTCATTCAACAAACAAGTAACGTCTGCTTCTCGATCAGGGCCCATGCTTGTTTGGAATAGGGCAGCAAATACTCTAAAGGTCCCAGGTGTCATGGGACATAGATGTCGCAAAGCATGTAAGAGGGACTCCACCTGGCACAGGATGCTTTCCAGTGGGATCTTGCTGGGCAGGGATGGGTTAAGGGCAGAAGGGCCTTCTGTCTTGAGAAACAGCATGCAGAATGGCCTTTAGCCCAAGGGGACTGTCTCTGAGCAGTGGCTCTAGACTAGTGAACATTTGGTAATGTCTGTTTTTGTTTGTTTTTTTTTTTTTGACACAGAGTATTGCTCTGTTGCCCAGGCTGGAGTGCAGTGGCGTGATCTTGGCTCACTGCAACCTCCACCTCCTGGACTTGAGTGATTCTCCTGCCTCAGCCTCCCGAGTAGCTGGGATTACAGGCACCCGCCACCACACCCGGCTAATTTGTATTTTTAGTAGAGACGGGCTTTCACCATGTTGGCCAGGCTGGTCTCAAATTCTTGACCTCAAGGGTTCCGCCCACCTCGGCCTCCCAAAGTGTTGGGATTACAGGCATGAGCGTCAGCCACCGTGCCCTGCCACCTGGAGATATTCTGAACTCTCCTAAGGGCTGTGTGGAGCGGGGCTTGGGGATGCTATTCGTATCTAGTGGGTGGGGGGCAGGGATGCCTGCTCACCACCCTACAGTGTGCAGGACAGTCCCCATGGCAATGAATCCATCCCAAATGGCACTAGTGCCCTGGTTGAGAAAGTGCGTGAAGCCAATGCGGGTGAAATGCTGGGTTGGTCGAGGGTTGAGCATGGAAAGGGGCTCTGGAGCAGCTCCGTCTCCCACTAAAACCCTAGGCCCCATAAGGAGTTTCTGGATTCCAGGCACCCTGAACGGATCTTTGCCCAGCAGGAACCCGGTTTCTGCAGGGTCTGCACGAGCGTGCACGAAGCACACGAGCGTGCACGAAGCCCTGAGCACGCGGCTCTGCTGAGGGGCGGGAAGCGCTCCAGGCCTCGGTTTCCTGCAGGAGCGATTACACCCTGGGGGCGGGACGGCTTCATGGGAGGAGTTTTTGTACAACCATGCTGCATGGAAGGATTTTTCTACAGATGAGCGGGAATCGGGACTAATAAAGGGGAACGTGCGACCCTACGTCTCGAGATGGCCGTACCCGGTCTTGGGCTCACCGGGGCCTTGGCCCCCAGGACCTGACAGCTGGAGTCCGGGACCACAACTGGGAGAACTGCAAGTCCCAGAATGCCGCACTCTGCCTGCGCAAAAGCTCTGCGACGCCTCAGGCAGCCAATGGGACGGTCCGGGGGTGGGAACTGGGTGCACTTGCGTCATGACGCGCTGAGGCGACGTCGGTGTTTGTGTGCGCGAGAGGCCGCCGATAAAGGTTGGGTGCCTCGCGCCGGGGGCCGTTGGGAGGGAGTACGCCCCCACCCCCCCCTCCCCGGCCCCCACAGCTGCACCGCCGCTGCCGGGGCCCCACCTTCCCGTCGGCCCCCGCGGGAAGGTCCTGGGGCTCCCACCCTCGTTCCCCCGATTGGGGCCGCAGGTGAGAGACCGGAGGGGTGGGGGTGGGGGGAGGGACCGGAGGGCGGAGACGTTGGGCGAGTGGGAGCGTGAAACCGGAAGGGGTGCCTTAAAGGGGAGGTCGCTATTTCACCGCCGACTGTTGCCCCTGGGCTGGCTCCGCCCTTTTAAAGGGCAAGGGGTTGCATTGAGAGGGTGGGTCAGGCTTTGCATTTTTGCAAAAGCTTTGAGTTAAAAAACTTTTTTCTCCTAAAAATTGGTTATCTCATTAAAGGCCAGTCTCAGTTTCCCAGACAATGAAGAAAAAACTCCTGAGACCTGGTTGCTTCAAAGCGATCCCTAGTTTAGCTCGACAGAGGTTGAGATGGGTCTGCGATGGCAGCATCCCCCTTAAAGGGGAAGTCCAGCCTGCGGAAAGGGTGTGGCGCGGCCTTTTAAAGCGGATGCCCTCTTCTTGCTAAATGGGACCCCGCTCTTAACGGAGCATCGAAGTCTTGTTTAAGGCGATGCTCGGCCTTCTTAAAGGCACGTGCAGCTTCTTAGGATCAGTAGGTTCTTAAAAGGACTTGCTTACATATTACAGGGCACACTCATCTTTTAAAAAGGAAGTTCTTGGCCGGGCGTGGTGGCTCACGCCTGTAACCCCAGCTCTTTGGGAGGCCGAGGCGGGAGGATCACTTGAGGCCAGTAGTTCAAGACCAGCCCGGGCAACATGGTGAAACCCCGTCTCTACTGAAAATACAAAAATTAGCCGGGCATGGTAGCGTGCACCTGTAATCCCAGGCACTCAGGACGCTGAGGCAGGATAATCGCTTGAACCCGGGAAACGGAGGTTGCAGTTAGCGGAGATCACGCCACTGATGACAGCCTTGATGACAGAGTGAGACCCTGCCTCCAAAAAAAAGAAGAAAAAAGACAAGGAAGTTCTTATAGCTTGTCCAAAGGGGATGTCCAGCCTTCATTCATTCAAAACGTGTTTACTGAGCACACACTCTGCAGACATTATTGTAGGCGCTGGGATGGGATACCACAGTGGAACAGATAGAAACCCCTGTTTTCACGGCGCCGACATCCTAGCATGGGGAGACAGACAGAAAGCACACTGCTTATATAGTAGCGGTTCTCGGCGCTCCCCTGGGGTGACATCGTGGCAAAGACTTGGAGGTGCAGGAGTGAGCTTTGTGGACAGTGTAGAGGAGGGCTTCATAGGCCAATGTCAGTCTGGCATCCAGTGGATTGAGGCCAGGGATGCTGCTAAACACCCTGCAGTGCACAGGACCTCCCTCAACAAAGAATGGCCTGGCCCCAAATCTCAGCACTGCTGAGGCTGAGCATCACGGGTCATATAGTCCATTAGAAGGTGATCAACGCTGTGGGGAAAAAAACATGGCAGGAAGAGGGAACAGGGAGTTGGAAGGGATTGGAGATTTAAATAGGGGTGTCAGGGAAGCTCTCGCAGAGGGGATTTCAGCGAAGACTTGGAGGTGAAAGTGAGAGCAGTGCAGGTGGAAAGGGAGGGGCGGTTCTAGGCAGGTGCCCTGAGGTGGGAGCAGGCTTGCCTGGCCAGCCTGGGTGACCAGAGTGACCGGGGGCAGGTGGCCAGTGAGGACAGCAGGAGGACAAAGTCAGGGAGGGGACAGGCTGAAGGCTGCCAGAAGTGGGCAGGCTTCAAGACTGGAGCTGTGGCAGCGTCTGAGCACAGGAATGCAACACCCTGCCATCCCTGTTGATGGGTTCGCTTCAGCTTGTGTGTTGGGAACAGATGGGTGGACAGGGCACGGGTGGAAACACGGAGATCCGTGGGGAGGCTGTTGCAGCTACCTGGGAGAGAGACGGTGGTGCCACAGATCAAGGTGGAGGGCTGGAGAAGTGGCCAGATCCTGGATAGCTCTGGCTGGAAGGAGAATCTGCTGACGGATGATAGAGAGGAGGTGAGGAGCATTTGGCCTGAGGAGGAGGACAGTTGCTGTGTTCAGAGATGAAGAAACTATGGATAGAGTAGAAGTTGGGGGCAAGGGGCAAAAAAACCATAGTTCGATTTGGGGTACGTTAAGTTTGAGAGTCTGTGAGGTGTCAAATGGCACAGTCTAGCAGGTGGCGTGGCATTCAGAGGACAGGTCTCATAGAGCTGGGGGCCTGAAGTCATTGTTCATATACTGCGGAGTCCTGAGAGTGGGTAGGGGCTCCCAGGGAGAGAGGACAGGCAGAAGAGGACCAAGGGGGGCCAGAGCCCTGGATGCTCCCATATGTAGAGGTCAGGGAGGTGAGAAGGAACCAGGCTGCGGCTAGGATGGGGTGACAGGTGAGGGAGGACAGCTAGGGAGTGAGGTATCCTGGAGGCCGGGGGAGGCAGGCCACGGACCCAGTGACAAGTGAGCCATTGCGGGCCACGTGCCACCAAAGCCACGGTGGAGTGGGGGAACCAGTGTGGGACTGAAGGGGTTTGAGCTGGGAAGGAGTGAGTTGACACAAGCTGCTCTGCTGTGAAGGGACGGAGAAATGAGTTTGCAGATGGATGGGTAAGTGGTTTTTAAAGATGGGAGACCCAGATTGTTGGTTCCGTTGATGGGAACCATCCAGGAGAGGAGGAAACATGGACGATGTGGGTGGGAAGGCAGGATCCACAAGTACCTGGTCAGGCATGTGGGGAAGGATAACGAAGGCTTTCTGGACCTCGCACTGCTGACCTTGTGGATGGGATCGTTCTCGGCTATAGTGTCATCCCATGAATTGTAGGGTGTTGAGCAGCATCTCTGGCCACTACCCACTAGATGCCAGGAGCACTTGCCTCTTGCGTTAACAGACAACCCAAATACCTCCAGGCATTGCCAGATGTCCCCCTGGGTAGGAGGCACAATTTGTCCCAGTTGAGAACCACTGGTATCGTGGTCAGAATGTGAGAACCTTCGCTTCTTACTTCTTTTATTTTCACAGAGGCATGATCAAGGACAGGATTGCCTGCCAAGAACAGGAGGGGAGAGGAGGGGCTGGAGGTTTCAGGAGAAAGCTCCATGGCAAGTAGTCACCTGGAGAGTGCACGGATCAGAGAAGTGTAGTGTGAGCCAGGGAGGGTGATGGTGAGGGGGCTGCAGGTTTTGTGGGCATCAATGCAAAGTGAGACTGAGGCTAGGAAAGGGGTGCCTGTCATGGCTGCTGGCAGCGTCTGTGCAGGGTCAGGCGGGAGTGAGGATGTGGTTTGGCTGAAGGAGGCAGGGTGGCATGGATGGTAGATGGGCTGGAGTCTAAGGATTTGGGGAATTGAAGCACTGAGCGGGAGTGACCTAGAAGGCTTTTTGGTGGTAGGAAGTAGGTTATTCCAGGCTCAGACCATGAGGACACTTTTTTTTTTCTTTTTTGAGACAGAGCCTTGCTCTATCACCCAAGCTGGAGTGCAGCGGTGTGATCTCAGCTCACTGCAACCTCCACCTCCCGTGTTCAAGCAATTCTTCTGCCTCAGCCTCCAGAATAGCTGGGATTACAGGTGTCTACCACCAAGCTCAGCTAATTTTTGTAGTTTTAGTAGAGATGGGGTTTCACCATGTTGGACAGGCTGGTCTCAAACTCCTGATGGAGGTGATCGCCTGCTTTGGCCTCTTAAAAGTGCTGGGATTTCAGGCGTGAGCCCCCATGGCTGGTGCCATGAGGAGGCTTTAGTTAGCATGAAAAGGTTTAGGGTATGCCAGTGGGAGGATTGTTGAAGCCCAGGTTGGGGATGAGGTCTAGAGGGAGAGCAGCAAGGAGTGAAGCTAGGAGAGCCCTTCTCTGTGTCTTCTTCAGGGACCCTGCCTGTGTTTAGAGGGAGCAAGCAGAGTCCTAAAGGCAGCACTTGCTCTCTTGAAGGTGGGGCCCAGCCTTCTCAGACCTGGCCAGCCTCCTAAGGAGGGTGATCACCTTGTCCCAGTTTGCTAAGGAGTTTCCATTTCGGCTCTGAAAGTCCGGTATCACTAGCACCTGCTCAAGTCCCAAGCAAACTTGGACCATTGGAAACCCTGATCCTAAGGAAAGTCCCTTGCAAAGTGGGTGACCTGGGGAGGTAGTCCCTGTCCCTTAAAGAGCCAGTGTGTGGGTTTGGGGTTGAGATGATCCAGTGCTGGACAAGCCCCTGACGCGGAATCCCTCCTCCAGGTGTGATGGTCGGCTCACACGCGGACATGGCACCGGCCTCCACTGCGGAGGGGACCGGGGAGAAGCCAGGCCCTGCGGCCCCAGCGGCTCAGTATGAGTGCGGGGAGTGCGGCAAGTCATTCCGGTGGTCGTCCCGGCTCCTGCATCACCAGCGCACGCACACAGGCGAGCGGCCCTACAAGTGCCCAGACTGCCCCAAGGCCTTCAAGGGCTCCTCGGCCCTGCTCTACCATCAGCGAGGCCACACGGGCGAGCGGCCCTACCAGTGCCCTGACTGCCCCAAAGCCTTCAAGCGCTCCTCCCTGCTGCAGATCCACCGCAGCGTGCACACCGGCCTGCGGGCCTTCATCTGCGGCCAGTGCGGTCTGGCCTTCAAGTGGTCGTCCCACTACCAGTACCACCTAAGACAGCACACAGGCGAGCGGCCCTACCCGTGCCCGGACTGCCCCAAGGCCTTCAAAAACTCGTCCAGCCTGCGGCGCCACCGCCACGTGCACACCGGCGAGCGGCCCTACACCTGCGGCGTCTGCGGCAAGAGCTTCACGCAGAGCACCAACCTGCGGCAGCACCAGCGCGTGCACACCGGCGAGCGGCCCTTCCGCTGCCCGCTGTGCCCCAAGACCTTCACCCACTCCTCCAACCTGCTGCTGCACCAGCGCACCCACGGCGCCGCCCCCACTCCCGCCCCGGGCCCCGCCCCCACCCCGGGCGCCACCCCCGCGGCCCCGCACCCCCAGTCCCAGGAGCCCATCGGCAGCAAGGTCTTCGTGTGTGACGCCTACCTGCAGCGGCACCTCCAGCCCCACAGCCCGCCCGCGCCCCCCGCCCCGCCGCCCCCGCCCCCACCAGTGGTACCCGAGCTCTTTTTGGCGGCGGCGGAGACCACGGTAGAGCTGGTGTACCGCTGCGATGGCTGCGAGCAGGGATTCAGCAGCGAGGAGCTGCTCGTGGAGCACCAGCCGTGTCCCGGACCCGAGGCGGTGCCCCAGCCCCAGGACGCACCCGCCGAGGCGCCCAACGCCGACCCGCCATCGTCCCCTCTGCCGCAGCCCCCTCCTTCCGCCGCCGCCCCCGCCCCTGGTTTTGCCTGTCTGCCCTGCGGCAAGTCCTTCCGGACGGTGGCCGGGCTCTCCCGCCACCAGCACACCCACGGGGCTGCCGGCGGGCAGGCGTTCCGCTGCGGCAGCTGCGACGGCTCATTTCCGCAGCTGGCCAGCCTCCTGGCGCATCAGCAGTGCCACGTGGAAGAGGCGGCGGCCGGGCGCCCGCCCCCGCAGGCTGAGGCCGCCGAGGTCACCTGCCCCCAGGAACCGCTGGCGCCCGCCGCCCCAGCTCCGCTGCCACCCCCGGCCGCCCCGGCTTCTGCAGAGCGGCCCTACAAGTGTGCCGAGTGCGGCAAGGCCTTCAAGGGCTCCTCGGGGCTGCGCTACCACCTGCGGGACCACACCGGCGAGCGGCCTTACCAGTGTGGCGAGTGTGGCAAGGCCTTCAAGCGCTCCTCCCTGCTGGCCATCCACCAGCGCGTGCACACCGGCCTGCGGGCCTTCACCTGCGGCCAGTGCGGCCAGACCTTCAAATGGTCGTCCCACTACCAGTACCACCTGCGGCTGCACTCGGGCGAGCGGCCCTACGCCTGCGGGGAATGCGGCAAGGCCTTCCGCAACACGTCGTGTCTGCGGCGCCACCGCCATGTGCACACCGGGGAGAGGCCCCACGCCTGTAGCGTCTGTGGCAAGAGCTTCGCACAGACCTCCAACCTGCGGCAGCACCAGCGTGTGCACACCGGCGAGCGGCCCTTCCGCTGCCCGCTGTGCCCTAAGACCTTCACCCACTCCTCCAACCTGCTCCTGCACCAGCGCACGCACTCAGCCGAGCGCCCCTTCACATGCCCCATCTGCGGTCGTGGCTTCGTTATGGCCGCCTATCTGCAGCGGCACCTGAGGACGCATGCCCCGGCCAACACCGCTCCCAGCACCACAGCCCCCGCCGCCGGTCCCCAGCCCCCTGCTCCGCTGGCCGCCGTCGCGGCCCCGCCAGCCACCCAGGATGTCCACGTCCTGCCCCACCTCCAGGCCACGCTCTCCCTCGAGGTGGCGGGGGGCACGGCCCAGGCCCCGACCTTGGGCCCAGCGGCGCCCAACTCTCAGACGTTTCTCCTGGTGCAGACTGCCCAGGGCCTCCAGCTGATCCCCAGCAGCGTGCAGCCCCCTGCTCCTCCGCCCCCTCCCGCACCACCCAAGCTCATCCTGCTGCCCTCCTCCAGTGCTGGGGCGGGGGGCGGCCGTGCAAGGCAGGGGCCGCCGGCAGTAGGGAAGGCAGGTCAGGGGGCGGGAGTTGTCTGGCTGCCAGGCCCTGGGGGTCTGGGGGTGCAGGGAGCGGCCAGTGCTGCGGCCAGCGGGGGAGGGCAGAGCCTCATCGTTCTGCAGAATGTAGGGGGCGGGGAGGCAGGGCCACAGGAAATGAGTGGAGTGCAGCTCCAGCCCCTCCGGCCAGCCTCGGAAGTGACCACTGTCCAGCTCCAGCCAGCACAGGAAGTGACCACTGTCCAGCTCCAGCCGACACAGGAAGTGACCACGGTCCAGCTCCAGCCGACACAGGAAGTGACCACGGTCCAGCTCCAGCCCGTGGCCGGCCAGCTCTCCAATTCCAGTGGAGGAGCTGTGGCTGCTGAGGCGCCCAACCTGCTGGTGGTTCAGAGTGGGGCAGCTGAGGAGTTGCTCACCGGCCCGGGCCCCGGGGAGGCGGGGGATGCTGAGGCCAGCACCGGTGTGGTCCAGGATGTCCTCTTTGAGACACTGCAGACGGACGAGGGCTTGCAGAGCGTGCTGGTGCTGAGCGGGGCCGATGGCGAGCAGACCAGGCTCTGCGTACAGGAGGTAGAAACCCTTGCCCCTGGGCTGACCGAGCCGCCGGCCACCGGCCCGCCTGGGGCAGAAACTCCTCATCATCCGCAGTGCCCCGGCCACTGAGCTACTGGACAGCAGCAGCGCCGCAGGAGGCGCCGCCACGCTGCAGCTCCTGGCCCCATCGCCGTCCGGTCCAGCCTCGGCTTCCGCGGCGCTCCCTGCGGCTCCAGCCTCCCAGATGGTACAAGTGGTCCCTGCGGGAGCTGGGCCCAGTGTCATGACCCCGCAGGGCTTGCCCTCCATCCAGATTGTGCAGACCCTACCCTCAGTCCAGCTAGTGCACACGTTTTGAGGAGAGCCAGTGGTTCTCCCGCCCTACACAGAGACCCCGACTCATTGCAGGCCGGGGCCGGGGCGGGGCGGGGCGCGGCTGGGCGCTGCAGGCTGGGCTTGCTAATAAAAGACCCAAGTCTCCCCGTCTGTGTTTTGTTTTCCTGGGGGGAGGGAAGAGGGCAAAGTCATGGTCATAGCCCCTGCCTGTGAGCCGTGGAGTCACTTCTGCGTCCTGCGGCCAGCCACTAAGTGGGGCTTCAGTTTCCCCGTCCTGAAACAAGGACGCAGGGGTCACTACAGCGGGGAGGTGGTGGCATCAGAGTCCAGCTAGTGCCATTTGTTGACTATGAGTAGCCCCGCCACCCCCTCATTTGGAAAACGGAGATCCTTAGGCGGGAGGGCTCTGCGAGCCTGGGCGCCCCGGCGGGTGGGATGGGGGGGGTCGGGCGCCGCTGGGCTGGAGGATGCCGAGCACGGCCGGCTGGCTCCTCCCGCGAAGGCCCCTGCACCGCGGAGAATCCACCCGCTGGCATCGCCGCCTGCGCTCAGGTTGCTCGGCAACGAGGGCACGTGGGGCGGAGACCCGCGCTGGTGCCCGCCCGCCGCCCGTCTCCTGCCGGCGCCCGCTCCCGTGTTTCCCCAGGTCCCCTTTCCCGCTGCTCCTTCTCTAGAGCAGGAGAGGTCACCTCCCGGCCCTCCGCAGGGTCACTGCTCGGCTCCCCCAGCCCGCGCTCCGGGGAGCTTAGCAACGATTGCTACGGCCGGGAGCAGGCGCCGCGCCCCCCCCCGCGGGTGACGTCACTTCCGCCGGCGACCCCTTCCCGACCCGCTCCCGGAGCCTGGTCAAAGGACCAAAAGCGACCCGCGCAGGTGCTGGCGGGTCCTCGTTCTTGTGGCGCGGGACGGGGACGACTGTGGGGAGGGAGCGCTGGGGGCCGGGGCGGAGCCAGCGTGGTCCGTCCTCTGGCCTGTGGGTGCCTGGGAGGGAGCCCCGTGCTGCAGTGTTGGCGTCCACAGCGCCTTGAGGGGTAGATCGCTGAATAGTTCGCGGGAGGGGAGATCCCGGGAGACTCTGGCGAGGTCGCTGAGTATTGTGGGGGGCGCCTGTTCTGCCGAGATCCTCGCTTTGGGCCCCGAGGGTTCTGTGTCCTCATCTGGGGGGAAGTGCTGCTGCTGCTGCTCCCCACCCCGGGGTGGGGGGCTTTGGGGACAGAGGTGCTCCCCTGATGCCGACCTACTTGTGTTCTCACCAGGTGCACGACGCCAGCTCTCTTCTGGGGGGCGGGGGCCTGGGGGCTGCCATGGCCCCCAGCCACCTGTCAGTGCGGGAGATGAGGGAAGATGAGAAGCCCTCTGGTGCTGGAGATGCTGAAGGTGAGAGGCAGGGCCCCAGGGAGTGGCTGCAACCGGGCATTGCAAGTGGGTTCAGCCACTGCCTCCCATCCACCTGAGCCAGCCTGGACCCCTGGAGCGGGATCTTTTCCTCCTGAGCCTCAGCAGGCTTCCAGCTGGAAGTGCTGCTGAAAACCACAGCAGGCGTGGCAGCTGGGGGCTCACCCCCCGGGCCCTAGTGGGGCCCCAGCACCGATGCCCTCCCTGGTTCCTCACCTCCAGTCAGGCCCGCACACCAGCACAAGAGCCATTTCTGTGCCTCTGACTCCAGCTCTTTAAAGCACAGCCCAGCGTCCCAGCCTAGTCCAGCAGTCCCCTCCAGCCTCCACTCCAGCCTGGGCCATGCTCCCTGTCCTTACTTCCCTGGCACCTCACTGTGGCACCACCACTGAATTGGGTGCCTCCACAGTCCTAGTTGACTCCGCCATCCCTCACTCATTCATTCACTCATTCATTCATTCACTCCATACCCAGTGTGCCACACTGCTGATCATCGCACCATGCTGCCTTGCCCTCCCATTTGGGAACCCCCACCCTGCTCCAGGCAGGGTCCACCTCCTCTCCTGTCCAGGAGGCCCTAGCGTTTTGGATGGCTGACCCACCCCTCCTGCCCACAGGCCAGCGTGAAGGACACGGAGAACCGCGTGGCCCTCCATGCCCTGACACGGCCACCAGCCCTGCTCCTCCTGGCGGCGGCCAGCAGCGGCTTGCGCTTTGTCCTGGCTTCCTTTGCCCTGGCCCTCCTCCTGCCGGTGTTCCTGGCTGTGGCCGCTGTGAAGCTGGGCCTGCGGGCCCGATGGGGCTCACTGCCTCCCCCGGGTGGCTTGGGGGGCCCCTGGGTGGCAGTGCGGGGCTCTGGCGATGTGTGTGGGGTCCTGGCCTTGGCCCCTGGCACCAACGCAGGGGATGGGGCCCGGGTCACCCGCCTCTCTGTCTCTCGCTGGCACCGCCGCCGGGGAGTGGGCAGGAGGCTGCTGGCCTTTGCGGAGGCCCGGGCTCGGGCCTGGGCTGGGGGCATGGGGGAGACCCGGGCTAGGCTTGTGGTCCCCGTAGCTGTGGCCACCTGGGGGGTGGCGGGGATGCTGGAGGGCTGCGGCTACCAGGCTGATGGGGGCTGGGGCTGCCTAGGCTACACATTGGTGAGGGAGTTCAGCAAAGACCTGTGAGGCTACAGACTGCCAGCAAGGGCAGGGAAGGAGGGAGGGGCACCAGCACCTGGTGAGCACCTACTGTGTGCAGGTACTTTTACATCCACTCCCTCGGTGAGTCCTCAGCCACCCAGGGCCCAGAAACAGAGGCCTGCTGAGGGGAGGAGTCTGGCCTCCGCCCACCAGCCGGCAGCGTGAAGTCTGCAGTGTTGGAGCTTCTCAGAGTGGAATGGCTCCTTTCCCTCTCTGGTCTCGAGGTCCGCCTCTCCAACCCCTACCTCAGCTCCGTCTGCACTGAGAAATCTCCTTGGTCCATGTGTCTGCAAAGCCAGTGCTGTCTGTGCCACGGGCCTGGGAGAGCTATCTGGGGAGGGGGAGAGGAGGCCGAGCAGAATATGCCCAGAGTTAGGATTTGTGACTCTGCCTCCCCAGACCCAGAGTGGGTTAGATGCCTGGCCTTGGAGGGGACCAGGTTGACTACTTAGGGGTCGCAGTGCACAGGGCTGCCAGGCTTGGCCCCTCTCTGGAAAGGTGGAGAGCTGAGATGGCAGCCCTGGCCCTCCCTCCAGACCCGTCTGGTTTTTTACACCATTTGTTAATAAAGCCTGAAACCGCTGTGTGCCTGTCTCATCTCTGATGCCTTTTCCAGACTGTCTCCGGACACCCCCGCCCGCTTTGGTCTGGCCCCTCCTTTCCCCAGTTGACATTAATTGTTGGGGGGCGGTGCTGGACTGGGAGAACGGGAGACTGTGAGCTCAGGGGCAGCCCTGGGCCCTGCCAGCCCTTCTGAGTCACGCTCCCTATTACCGAATTTTTTCCGCCTCACAGCTGCCTGGTGTGCAGGGAGTGGGATTGTGTGTGTGTGTGTGTGTGTGTGTGTGTGCGCGCGCGAGTGTGTAAGTGTGGAGCCCCTCCCCCTCACAAGCCTTGACCTTGGGCTGCTTATCTCCCTACCCCAGCTCCCTTTGGGACAGTGAAGTTCAACCTCTCCTCCCTCAGCTGGGGACGGCGGGGGGCTTCACATTCAGATCCACCACTGAGGGGCAGGACTGGAGGGTTGGGTTTTTCCGTCTCTTCCTCATCTGGGAAGTCCCTCCTGGTGTCTGACTGCAAATCTTGCTGCTGCACCAAGAGTCCCAGGTCTGCCCAGCCCCAACGGAGCAGTGGTCTCACCATATTTCCCTGACCAGATGAGAGGAGGCAGCAGGTGGGCGCCCCCTCCCGCTGACACTGGCCCCCGATGCACAATCTCTGCCCTGCGCCTTCCTGCAGCCGGCCACCCCCTAAGCATCTCAGCACAGCACTTCGCTGGCTGGAGCCTGCCTGGCCGTCGTCTCTTTCTCCCGTGTGGGTGTCTGCATTGGACACCCTCCCTCCCGCCCGCCACCCCCTCCCCCCTCCCCCAATGCCTCCGCCGCCGGCCAGCCCCCTCCAGCCCGCCCTGTCCCCTGCCGCCTCCCTGCAGCCTCTTTCTTCCTCCTGGCAAATCGTCCAGCCCTGCCTGCTCCTCCTTGGGCCTGGGCGCCTCCGGCAGGCGCTCCCTCCCTCCCCCTCTCCCCAGCTGCCTCCTCCTCTCCTCTCCCGTTCTCCTTCCCCTTTCACCCCATCCCCTGCCCTGGCTGCAAATATGAGGGTCTTGGCCTGCCTCCTTGGTGAGTGATCCCTTCTCCTTGGGGACTCAGGGGACCTAGGCCCCCAGCTCTGACCTCTTAGCTTATCTAGTTTAAGAACTCAAACTTCCGGGACTGGTCCCTGGTGCTTGGGGTACCCTGACATCCCTTCTGAGGCTCCCTGCCTGCTCAGCCCAGCCTTCTACCAGCCCAGAAACCCGAGGGATCTGCCCCCTGCCCGCCCCCAGCCCTGACCCTGCAGGGGATCTCCCAGACATCTGACCTTTAGCCAAGACCATGTGAGAACACCAAAGCCATGGTCCCTGGCCCTGACTTCAGGGGCCAGGCAGCTGCAGCCCCACCCACCAGCCTCAGAGACCCAATTCTCGTCCAGGCCCTCTGTCCAGAGTCCTGCCTCCCAGCCATGGGGTTCCTGGTTCAGAGGTGTGAGGATGTGAGGAGAGAGAGAGAGAGAGAGTGTGTGGGGTGTGTGTGTGTGTGTGTGTGTGTGTCGGGGTATTCAAGATGAGGGGCCTGTGCTGGAGAAAGGAACACCCTCGGACTGCCCCTCACTCTGCCCCACTCTCCACCCTCCCTTGCAGCGGCACTGGTGGGGATCCAGGCTGTTGGTAAGTGCCCGAGACTCCTCCCACCTGCCCTCCTCCCAGCACCAGGCCTCCCCCTTCTGCCCATCTAGGCCTGGCCTCACCCTCACCAGAATTCCACTATGATCTTTGCCACTGCCCCCCCTTTGGGATCCCCCAGGTGTCTGGGTGAATCTCTCTGAGCATCCAGAAGTCCTGGCCCAGGGGTCCAATATGGCTGCTACTACCTGCAGGACAGGCCCTGCCCCTACAGTCCCCCCCCACACCCCCCCCGACCCTGGGGCCCCAGGGATGCCCCTCCTCGCCACAGCCATTCCTCCACCCCTCAGAGCGGCTGCGCCTGGCCGATGGCCCTCACGGGTGTGCTGGCCGCCTGGAGGTCTGGCACGGAGGGCGCTGGGGCACCGT